ATTTTTTTTAAATTTTTTTTATTTATTTTTAATTTTTTTTTTAACTTACATTTCCACTGTGTTTTTGGTCGTCTTGCAATAACCGCCAATTAAATATATATTATCTTGCAACACAGCCACACAAATCAACTCTCGACGCTTGCGCACTGGCTGTGGCGTTTCCCACTGCTGCTTTTCCAAATCGAAACGCACCAAATATTTATTACCGATGAAGACGAGCGAATTCTTAACGAATATTGTGCCGTAGTCGGTTTTCTCACCTAAAACTTGACCACAGCGTGCCCAAGTGTCCGCTATAGGATCATAACGTAGAAAGCGCTTCTGTTGTGGGGTGACCATAAATGACAAAAATACGATAACACAGCAATCGTTACAAACTTACGCTCTCATCCATGATGTTAACTTCCACAGCCATGAGACAATTGCGCGAGTTGCGTGGCTTGGTGTACTTCAATTTGGTCTGCCAACGCGTTTCGGGCACATGAAACCAATCCAAAGCATCCAGAATTAAACGGTCACTGCCCGGTATTGGTTTGATGTGCTTGAAAACGAAGGCTGGCTCCAACTGTGTGATGCGCAGCAGCGAAAGCAAATTTATTAAGTAGGGGCGTCGATTTTCCTCATCATATTTGTGCCAACGCATGATGGCATCAAAAACATCAGCTTCATTGTACACATTCAATTCATCGCTCTCCACCAACTCTTCCATGAGTGCGGGACTGAAACGCAGTAGTTCTCCATTAGCGAGCAACTGTTTGTGGAAGGATCATTATTAAAAAAAAAACAAAAAAGGAAAACGTAAAATTAGGTTGCATCGAAGCTAAAATATCCTTTCTATAAAGGATCTTAATTTTGACCGGTCAGTTTGTATGGCAGCTATATAGTGATCCGATCTGAGCAATATCTTAAAATATTGTAGCCGTCTTCGACAATAATCTATGCTGAGTTTCGTAGAGAAATCTCATCAAATAAAAAAGTTTTCCATGGTAGACCTTTATTTTGATCTATCAATCTGTATGACAGCTATATTTTTCTATAGTAATCCGATCTCAACAATTTCTTGATTTTTATCATCCAGTTTGTATGGCAACTATATGCTATAATATTCCGATATCGGTGATTCCGACAAATAAATAGCTTCTTGGGCAAAGAAGGGCGTGCGCAAAATTTAAGATCGATATCTCAAAAACTGAGGGGGTAGTTAGCGTATATACAAACAGACCGAAGGACAAAGCTAAATCGACTCAGTTGCGCTGTTCAGTTGTAAACAAACTTCATGACAAACTTAATATAGCGCGTTTAGTGTATAAAACCAAGAATTGTTTATGTGCTCGCATCTCCCACCTCTTTAAAATGCTCCACCGCAAAGCCGAAGGCTTTAGCACGCAAGTCCTTGCAACCGTGATCATCAGCGAAGGAGATGATATCCAATAGGTTGACATAACTCAATTTGTTCACTATAAAGCGATTGCAATAGCGCACAACCTCTTTGAATTGTAAAATTTTTGCCGCTATCACCAGTTTGCGCGCTGCACGCTCATCGAGCGATAAGCTGCCTGTGTAGCAATAATTTATTAAGGTCTCGAAACTATTTGCATCGATATGTTTTAACGAAATTTCGCTTGTATCCTCTTCCGTGGTGAAGAGCTCTTGAAAATAGCTACTTGACGCCGCTAATACAAGACGATGTGCTGGAATGCTATGAAAATATGCCATGTAAAATTAAAACAAAATATACATAAACTATTTTATTTCTAACCGCTTCTGGCGTTCGCCCACAGTGAAAACCACATCAATGTACTGATTGTTACTGCGACATTCGCGTATTTGTGCCAAAACTCGATCTGAAAATTTGTACTCTAAATTGCTGCTTGATGGCGCACTAGCCATTAAGGAAGCTTCAGTGTTCTTATCTGCCATTTTTGCAAGTAAATTTTACAAACTTTTTGAATTTTTATATTAAAAAGAAATTTTTTTGTACACAATTTATTTCAAATTTAAATTTGGATACCATTTTACATTTGTGAATGTCAAAGTGAAATCGTAACGGATCGTGGTGAAATTCAAATACATGGTATATCGATTACACACACTTCCGATTATCGACTTAATAGCAAGTGCATATTTGTATACAATATACAATTTAAAATAAGAATTAAAAAATGTGAGTTCAAAAGAAAAATGCGGAAAATTAATAAAAAATAAAATCGTTCACCTAACCCATTAGGACACAACTCCCTATAAACTCATATAAATACTAAGTCGCTCTTCTGTGCTGACATGTGGATTTTGCCTCTAATAGAGCAAGATTTTTATGAAAATAAGAGGTCGGAGGAGAAATTAAACCAACGCTATAAAAAATCAATAAACTTAAATATGTGAACATATTTATTGTAATCCTGGAGGTGTTAACAAAAACGCCATTTTACTTTTCTTTCCTGCTCTACATCAACGCCTCCCGCTCTAATTGTAAACAGCATCCCTTTGTAGTTGTTGTTGTACGCAGCACAGCTGTTGCCTATTGGTTCTGCTTATATAAAAACAACCCCATTTACATAAAAGTGTTGTAGCAACAACAATAAATGATTTTTTGGTGGTGTTTATAGAAGTTGCATATAAAAGGATGCTTTGCAATCATGGATATAGAACATTTCAATTGCAACGTGAACACGCGCGGAGCGTATATAGTAACGGAGCACCGGAATATTTGGAATAATTAAATGACAAGTGAAAAATCTTATGTAACGAGCAGCATAAAGTGAAAAAATTATAAATTTTTTAAAGGTAATGCAAAAAAATGTGAATAATAATAATTACAGTTTAGTGAAAATTGATATTAAGAAAGAAAATAGAATGTTTAAGGCGACATTTGTTATCGATTAACTTCATAGATAAAGCAGACAGTGGAATTTACGGGAACAAATTACCTAGAAAAATTTTAAACTTCGCAAAAAATTTTCTTTTTTCCATTTACATTTGTGTATGTACACATATGTATTTATCTGTGGAAAATAAATATTTAAAAATTTCATTCAGAAATTTTCATATTCAGAAATTAAACAAAAGAAATCTATAATAATCATAAAAAAAAATGAAATCATTTTCAGTTAAAAAGTATACCATAAACAAATTTCCAAAAAGTATGAATTTAAAATTTTTTTTATAAATAACAGAACAGCGTTTTAATCTAAAAATCTCTGAAGTTTTAAAAAATCTTTTTTATACATTATTTTGAATAGAAAATTCAAAAAAAAAATTCAAAAAGTAATTTTTTTTAATTAATTAAACCACAGATCTTTAGTCTAAAATAACCTTCAAATTCGCAATTTTTTTTATTTTTATACTTATGCATATTATATTTTAGTATATTTTTGAGAAAAAAAAAACAACAGTTATAATGTGAAGTAATCATAAAATTTTTCGAAATTATCTTTTTAACTAAAATAAATATTAAATCTCGAAGTTTACTTTAATATTCGAAGAAATATGATAAATAATATATTTATATATTTTTTGGTTTTTTTTTTGTTATTTGTTTAAAAAAATTTATGTGACACAATTTGTTTTCTACTGATCAATCAATCAGTCGATGACATATGCAAATGTTACTCATCCGCACTGTTATATGTTTTTGCACAGAGTATATGACAGTTCGAGGTTTAATTAAAGTCGAATTTTATCAATTATCAGCCAATTTCACAAATTTTAAGATAAGTTGAAGCAAAAAGGTCATTTAATAAGCGCCAAATAATTGCGATTAATTCCCCATAATATTTTTTCGAGAATTAACAATTTCATGATTCTACTGCCTGGTTTTAAGATGTTTGAAGAAGGTAAATCACTTGTGAGATGCAGCGTAAAAATTGCTTTGTTAAAATAAAGTTCATTGCAAAGTATGTTGGCAAGCAAGCCAGTGTTAAATACAGCTGAAATCTCACTTTCAAGTTCAATTCTTGCTTTTGGCAATAAAATAACCCACTTCTTAAAATCTGTGAGTCCAATTGGCTTATTGGAACCTTATTTCAGTCACATCATGCCATTTAATAAATATTAAATTTTTATTGCAAATTGCGAAACGTGCGCGATAAAAGAAATTCTCATGTACCGTTATATCAACAACAACACACACCCTATAGGTTTTTGCTATTATTTGACTAGGTGTGAAAATATGTGCCGATAATAAAAGAATGCGGGAAAAATAATAACAATAACAAGTATAATGTGGTTAGTTAGAGAATATTTAAGCACACGCCAAACAAACGAAAGGGGTGGAATGTTGACACACGCACGAACTGCAACAAAAACACACAAAGCTAAGAATAAATATGAGTTGGTAAATAGTAATGGGGTAAGCAGTAAACCCTTAAGCAAAGGAACTGGTGCAAATAAAGCCTTTGGCATGCATATATTACAAACGTCTGATGGGCGAACTTATGCTTGCTGTTTAGCCACAAATTAAATGGGCGTGCCAAGTTATTTTGTGCTCAAAATTCAAAAGTGCACAATTTTGTAAAACATATTTTTTCTAATCAAAACGCTTGCTATACTCTCTCTTCAATGCAGTAATTATACCCGGTTTGCAGTCAACATGGTGTACGACATGACGCATATGATGCCCGCACAAAGCATCTCACTGGGCCGCTATTATTTGCACGATCTCAATGGTAGCGCTGAAAATCATGATTATGTCTTGGATATAGATCGACGCTTTCAGGCGCGCATGGCTTGTGAGACCATGCCACAGGCCTCACCACCACCGCCGCCAACGCCAGCGCCGCGACGCCGCACAACACCCATTGCGCATCTGGATCCCTCGGAATTGGTGGGGCTGTCACGTGAAGAGCGACGCCGTCGGCGACGCGCCACACTAAAATATCGCACCGCGCATGCCACACGCGAACGCATACGCGTCGAAGCGTTCAATGTCAGCTTTGCGGAATTGCGTAAGCTACTGCCAACACTGCCACCGGATAAGAAGCTGTCAAAAATCGAAATTCTCAAATTGGCTATATGCTATATAGCATATTTGAATCACGTGCTGGAAACGCCATAAAGTACGCAGCTGTTTTATTTCTATTAAATATTTGGGAAAATCAGTTGCAAACTTTACTTTCTTCTTGCCAATAATTTAAGCTGCATTGTGATACCATTTAATTTTACATTTTCACTTTACACTTAATATATTAATGTATATAACTTTTATTTAATACATACCTTAAGATTTTCATAATGTATTTGCATAATAAATACTAACTACTTTAAATGCCTTTGTTTACAAAATTACAAAATTAACGTCTGCTTTCGTGTAGACAGTGATGTTGACATTTCATTCACCATCAGAAAATCGATAACCGAAAATCGACGGGAAACTTAAGGAATTATATTTAATCCAAAAATAAATAACAAATATGCTAAAAATATTAAATATGACCTAATAGTTACAAGAAATTTTGCAAAAAAAAATTTAATATATACAAATAATACGAGAAATTCCTTCAGTGAATTTGTCGCTTATCAAAAAGCGATCATCTTGCTATAAACAGTTTATATTTGTCCTTTTTCTAAATATAAAAAAGTTTAGTAATATACTTATTTAGATTCAAGTTAAATTATTAAGGGATGCAAATTTAAAGTCGAAAAAAAAAACTTTCCTTAAAGCAAATTGCGATTTTTTGTCCGCCATACGCACGAAGAAAAGCAAAATATCTGAAGAAATTTTAAAGCTAACTTTATTTTGACTTTACACATTCCTCAAAAATACCGTATGACACAAGAGAACGTGCTATCGAAATATTGCATACGTCCTCAAAGGCAGCCGCAGCTGCCGTTTGCAACAATCTGCTTTTAATTCGTACATTTGCCGTCATTGGCCACCTGCGACTTGTTAGCTTAAACGCAGTGCGGGCAAGAACATACATACATATATTTGAACACTAGAAGCAATAGCGAAATAAAACAGGAAGGTGGGGAGAGGTGAAAGAGTGTTCAAAGAACAGCAAAAACAAATTCATATGTAGGTACTAGTAGATGTAGGATGGCAGCATTAATCCTCACTTCGTGACTTTCTTCTTGCAGAGCTTGTGCAGCAACTTATTGTAATTTTTTTTGTATTCAAGTCTGCAGACGTATAGAATTATAACTGAAGTTTACGGTACAACGCATTGCAGAATTTTAATATTTAACTTTACAACTTACTTTTTTTTTTAAAAATATGAAAAATGTTGGATTATTTTTTCATTAAAATTTATTTTATTTATTTATTCTTCAAAATCTATGTATATGCAGAAAGCGTTAGCAGCTCATATTGGTGGTAATTTTTTGCTGTACAAATA